CCGCTCTGATGGCCCTGGAAGGGTGTCAAATGAGCCTCTTAATTCCCCTAACAGTTCGGTGAGACCAGTACTGTTTTAGAGAGGCGCTACAGAGCTTCGGTGACATGTCTATGGCCACACATTTTGCAAGTGGCGGAACCAAGCTTTGAACCCTGGGAGGCTGGCACCCAAGTCCGTGCTCTAACCAGCCAGCACCTCGCCACAGCTCTTGAGGTTCGTCACCCTCACCTCGCGTATGGCTCATGACATCCAAGTAGGGACAGGGATGAAGCTACGTGCCCCATGTGACAGATGAGGAAACAAGTTTAATGAGATTCTAGGTCGTGCCCTCTGTCTGGGGCTGGACCCTGAACATGGGGAGCCATCCGCCTCCCCACAACCCTCTGGAGCAGCTAAATGGGGTTCAGAGGGAAGTCCCCAAGCCAGGAGGCATCTGCGGAGAAGTGCCACATGCCTGACCTCGGAGCCAAAACAACGCTCCTGATCTCCGAGGCCCAGCTGAGGAATGTGTTTTGCCACGTCTGGCAGGACCCCAGGGAGCAGTGAGGGGCCAGGCCAGAAGCAGGCAAGTCCTCTGCTCCGTGAGAAAGGTGAAAACAGCAACTTGCACCCAGAGCTCTGAGCTGCTGGGCAGGTCGCTCCCAGGGAACGCTGCGGCTGCCGCCTCAGACCAAAGTCACCTTCTTCAGGACCAGAAATGACATCTGCAGAACCCGAGGACTCTGGAGCCTCTCGGTCGCCAGCCCCGTGTGGGGGCCCACAAGGCAGGACAGGCCGACCTCTGAGATTCAGCTCGCGGGGCTGTTCCCGGAGGCGAGGGAACAACGCCACCCCTCGCTCTCAAACGTCCAGTCGGCACCCCTTGTAGTCACCAAACGCACGGTCCCTGGACTTTTCCTAGATATGGGGGGTGAGTGGCCCCCTCATTTAGCCCATGCCAGGGCCTACTCCTGGCCCCAGTGGGACCCTCACAGCCATAGTGTCCACAGATACAGAGACACCCCACTCCAGGTTGTCACACACCAGACCACGCCCTCCCTGTGCCTGGGCAGGGATCAGCACCTTGGCACAGAGGCGTCCACCTTCTGCTCACTGTTTGCCCTTAACACCTGGCAGGGCCTGGCCCACAGCGAGGGTTTGCTGAGTGACTGAGTGAAAGACTGAACAAGTAGCACTATGCTGTGGAATGCGGTCTGTGGGGCATAGACTTTATTTCCTCCTTGGTGGGCATCTTCCTTAAGGCTGCCAACCCCTGTTCCAGCCCCCCTCAGGCACGCCGAGGGACAGATGAGAGGGCTCGGAACTCCCTGAGGATAGGGTGCTGGGGGCGGCGCAGGTGTGGGAGGGCAGGGTATGCGTGGACCCCAGGACACACCTCAGACGCAGAGGCCTCCCCTCCCCTTCCCAAATGCGCCCTGCCTGGGGTGCGGGCCCAGGGTCCAGGAAGCACATCCCCCCTGCTGGGGGGCTGCCTAGCCTCAGCCCCCAATACTGCAGAGCCCCAAGCACGGCCTGAGCGACCCGGGGAGCCCCGCCACGCTCACCTTGGCAGTTGCGGCCGTTGGGGGCCAGCCTGTATCCGGACGAGGGGCAGCTGCACTGGAAGCTTCCAGGGATGTTGATGCAGCGGTAGGAGCAGATGTGGCCCCCGGTGGGCAGGGCGCACTCGTCGATGTCTGTGACAACAAAGTCCGCCCTCAGCATCCCGCGCGGACCCGGCCGGGCCATGGCGCCCAGTGGGCAGGGCTAGGGCCTGGGAGGGCAGCCACACAGGGCCAGCTGGACACGGGAGGCCTCAAAGTGCTGGGGCTGGGGCCACCTCAGAGACCACCATGTCGAAAGGGGAAACTGAGGCCCAGAGAGGGAGGGCCTAGCCTAGGGCCACGCAGCACGTTCACGAGGGGAGGTGTGCATGTGTGGGGGAAGGAGGCGGAACGGGGAGCTGAGCAGAGGGGACAGGCCGAGGGCTTCAGAATGACACACAGAACAGGCGCCCACGGCTACGAGCACAGCCCCAATGCTCGTTGTTACAACTGCGTGAATGAAAAACAGCCCTCATGTGGAGAGAGCAATAATCTTAACAGTTGCTGTTTAAGCACCTGGCTGTGCCAGACGCTGTACGAAGCACTTCTGAGCTGCCACCTGGCTTCATCTTCCGACAACCTGGTGAGTGGGGTGAAACCCCGTGCCTGGGCCAGTGAGGGCTTTCCAAGGGCCAGAGGCTGCGAGTCTGCGATGTGGGTGGCCCTGGAGGCCCCTCCCACCCCTGGGGCACACACCAACCACCGCCAAGCCCTGCTCAGGGTCCCAGCACATACAGTGACCGCCACTGCTGTGTTTATCAAAGAAAAACCTGGTGAGTGGCTTTGACCCTTTTTGAACCTCACTCTCAATGGTGGGTTCGGTGTACAAAAATGAACCTCAGTTAGAAGAAAAACACAAACCACCCTCCAGCCTGGAAGGGCGTGAAGTAGAAGGGGTGCAGGGTGCTGTCCCCTCACCTTCGCAGGTGACCCCGTCCACGTCGCTGAGCTGGTAGCCTCGGCGACAATAGCACTGGTAGGAGCCATAGACGTTGGCGCACTCCTGGCTACAGGGGCTGCTGTCACACTCATTCACGTCTGAAAGACAGAGGCCCCGGGGGTCACGGCTCAGAGCCGAGTCCCACGTCCCCAGCAGCGTCACGAACACGACAATTCCCTCAAGTTAACACACACGGAGAGGTGGAGTCCCAGAGCGCAGGGCTGGGGAACCCACGTGGGGTTGCCCCGAGGGAGAGGCCCCCCGCCACCAGCCCCCCATGGCCGATGGACCTGGAATCTCTCCATCCCTGCCGCTGCCCGCTTCAAGCCTTGCCATGTCCCATGAGGACGACAGTGATGGCCTCCAGCCTCGGTTCCTTGTAAACCGGCCACTGCCGGGCTACCAGAGTTAGTTCTAGTTCTCAAATGGGAAACCGATCACGTCCCCTGCAGATGAAGGAGGCCCTGAGAGACCCAGCGGACACGCCGATACCAACTAGGCCAATGCTCGGGACCCAACGGGCATCGCAATGCTGGGCATCGCAATGCTGGGCTCTTGTGCATCTGTTCCCTGGACAGCAGGGATCGGCACACATCCAGCCCACCACTTATTTTTGTAAATAAAGCTTTATTGGCACACAGCTACGCTCATGCATTTACCTGGGTCTGTAGCTGCTTGTGCCCTACAAGAGCAGAGTCGAGTGGTCATAAAAGCCTGTGGCTGGCGAAGCCCAAAATACCTGCCATGTGGCTTTTAGAAAAAAAAAGTTTTCTAGTCTCTGGCCTAGAAGTCTCTCCTCACATTTCTTCTCTGCTAATTCTTAGCGGGGCAGGAGGGGTGAGCGGAAGACAACATCCATCAGCTCCTCACCTCACGTTCATCCCTGCAGCCCCCGCACGCCCGGCCAGGCTGCCCCTGATCACCTCTTACCTCTGCCCACATCCCAGCGACACTCCCTGAGGGCAGGAACCATGTTCTTGCTACGCTCGGGCGCGGGGTGCTTAGTAAATGCTTGGAGGAGTAACAGGGCAAGGCTGGACAGGCCCTGGCTTTGCTTCCACAACGTTGCCTACTGACGCAGATATGATGCCTACCTTCCACTAACGCAGATACGATGCCTACCTCTCGGTCACTCAGTGGTGGCCGGGAACAGCGCGGGCCATGAATAATAACAACAGTGACACCAGCCAACGGGTCTCTGTCTGGCCAGCACTCCACCTCGCACTGGGCATGCGATAAGCTCTTCACCTGCTTCATCTGATCTCATCCTCGTGACCCTCTACGAGGTGGGTCTCAATGTCCGCATTTTACAAATAAGGACGCCAAGGCCCAGAAACGCTGAGTTACTTCTTCAAGGCCATAAAAATGACGGCTGGAACTTGAACCCAGGCCTGAGGAACCCCAACACGTGAATCTTGCTCCTTGCCAATGTATATGTGTTGGGTCTGCTTCTTGGGGACAAATCCCAGCATCCCAGGGGAAGCCTAGTGCCCAGGAGCCCATTACGCTGTCCACCATCCAGTCTGAGTATTATGCACACTGTACATGGCAGACAGGACTTTTGTGACCCCAGCCTTCCTGACGCAGAATTTGATGACCTGCCCATCCTGAGTCTGGCTCCATCAGCCACCCCGAGAGCCACACGGCACAAAACAGGGCTTGATGGGCGACATCAGGAATCGCCAAGGGCTGTCTAAGCTCTCAGTTTCTGCTGACCTCGGAACCTAACCCCATAGGAGACAGGACATCCGCTGAGCACCTACTATGTGCCAAACCCTGTGCTGAATACATTGCTCACCTCGTCTCAGCCTATCTCATCTGAGAACCCGAGACTTTCAGCACCTGTGACTTCATCCAACCCCCACCCTGCACATGAAGAGCCTTTTTCTGCTCAGGGCCACGTCCTTAGGGCAAGGACCCAGACCCCCTAAAATACTGCCCTGAGAACACGCAACTCTGCCAAAAGAACTTCCTATGCCTTCCAGCTACCACGTGACTATAGGCCCTGGCTTCTCTTGTAATTTGAAGCATTTCCTTTAGAAAACTTGCAAATGTGAATCCTATCTTTGTCCCTTTGAGATGCACCTTCTTGAGCCCAGGGATATCTCTCTCAAGAACCAGGAAACATGCTTTTGAAACGTAATCATCGAGAAGGGCAGGCCCCCCACCTCCCAGTCTCTGGGGAAGGTGGGAGCCAGTTAGCAGACACAGCTGGCTGACTCACATGGACCACCCCTGAACATCCATCAGTGCTTTTCCTGAGCACACCCCAGAATTTTAAAAAGCCCCCCCCTTTTGTTTTTGTGGAGTTGAGACGAGTATGGGGAGTCTCTCTCCCATACTGTAGTAGCCTAAATAAAATCTGTCTAACTGCTGTAAGCAAGTATCCAGCCTTTGTTTCTTTGACATCTAAAGCCCATTTCCTCTGTGAGGCCACCGGGGCAGGTGAGGCCAGCCGATCTCCAAGGTCACGGGACTGAGTGCTGGGTCTGAGATCTCCAGACCTCACTCTCAACCATGATCCCATGCGGCTCCTTCAGCCGCCAGGACGGGCAGGTGTCGTCCGGCCCCCGAGGACCCAGGAGAAACCGGGGAGCCGCCATCTCTGACACGCAGCCTTTCACAGGCGGGTCCCCCACCAACGTCATTTGACATGCGCCTGGGGAACGAACGTGGGTCGGTCCCCAACAGGCTGCCCTGCCGCCGGCCACTCACCCTCACAGGACCGGCTGTCGGCCGAGAGCCGGAAGCCGGCGGCGCAGCTACAGAAGTAGGAGCCGGGCGTGTTCTCGCACTTGTGGCCGCAGAGGCGCCCGGGGTAGCGGCGACACTCGTTGACGTCTGAAACACAGCGGGGGGCGAGTGGGGTTCAGGGGCGCCGTCCTCCCCCGCAACGCCACGGTGGTGGGGGGAGGGGATGGGGCTCAGGGGCGCCGTCCTCCCCCCAGGCACCACTCCGCCGCCTGCCTCCCGCATGTCCCACGGCCTCAGTTCTCGGAGCTGAGCAGCAAAGGGACTTGTCCCCAGAACAAGGCAAGTCACTGAGCCAGCCTCGTGCTCCTCCCTCGAGGGCACATCTGTGCATGTGCCACTCTCCAAGCTCTCCACCTCAGGTCCCAGGGAGGGTCCCTGGGATGGGATGGGCGGGGCAGGGGCAGGGGCAGGTGCCAGCCTAGTTCGGGGACGGCCACCGGGCCGGCAGAGCCTGGCCCCGTCTTTGGTTCTCGATGCCCCGGGCTACGTGCCCAGCTCTGGGGATCGCTCATCTTTGGGGCATTTGTAGAGTGGGCTGGAGCCCCATAAACACTTGGAGGCCTTCGGTCAAGCAGAGCGCCTGCCGTATGGGGGTGGGGGTGCAGGGGACACTGGCCCACGGCCCGGCCGGCAGCAGAGTGGAACCAGGACGTGCTCTGGGTCTGCCTGCACGCAGGGTTTTCTGAAGTGAGGGGCAGGTCAGGGTCGCTTCGGATGCAACAGGCTGGTTTTCTCTTTGGTGCTACCTGGCTGGGCCCCCCAAGGCCTATGGGGAAAGCCACATACCCACACACGTCCTGCTGATGCCGTCGAAATAGTAGCCAGCCTTGCACTCACAGCGGAAACTTCCAGGGGAGTTCACACAGAGGTGGCCAGACCCACAGGGCTCAGAGGGCGGCGAACACTCATCCACATCTTGCAAAAAGGAAAGAAAAACAGGTCAAAACGTTTAGTGTGTCTACAGCCATGCCACCCTGAACAAGCCCGTCTGATCTCGGACGCTAAGCAGGGTCGGGCCTGGTTAGTACTTGGATGGGAGACCACCTAGGAAGACCAGGTGCTGTAGGTGTAAAAAATAAAAACTAAGGGATTTTAAGCTGACAAGGTCCTTGCCATCTGTGAGGCCAACCAAGGGTTGCCTCGCTTAAAACATCAAACAAAAAAAAAAACTTTAGCGTGCATGTGTGTGTGTTTTTTCCTAGAGGACCGAGCAAACTAAAATGTACACTGACAAAGCAGCGTCGTTTATTCTTCGAGTCGACTCCATGGCACACCCACTGTGGGGAGACAGCTGGCCCGGGGGCAGCCCCTTCTCTCAGGGGACTCCCGCTCTGGCCGGCAGCCAGTGACCTTAGTTAAGGCAGGAAGTGCCCGGCGAGTGACCGGGGGAGGTGGGGAGGAAGGCCCCTTGCGGCCGGCAGGGGTCTCGGCAGGCTGGGTGCAAAAGCCTCCGCCCTGGCCCCAAGGGAGAGTGAGAGCGGGTGGGCAGCGGGAGCAGCAGGAGCGAAATCCCAGAGGAACGGGCGGGGCTTCCGCGGGGGGCAGCGCGCCCCATTTCATCTGGATTAGAAGGTGTGTGGCGTTGGGGCCAGCTCAGGATGACTGAATTGCATCTGTCCTCTGATGTCACCGAGGGGGGTTGTGAGCATGGAGGGACGAGCGAGCTTTTGGCTCAGGACGCCTGGGCAGAGCGGAGGGGACGAGGCCGGAGGCAGCGGGCAGGTTGGGCTTTACTGCAACGGTCCAGGCAAGACGATGAAGGCCCACGCATGGGGACCAGCCGTGGGACAGACGGACAGATGGACAGGCGGAAACGGCCTCGCTCTGGGGATCCCCCTCCCTTCCAGAGAAGGGAGGGTCGTGCTAGGGGCGAAGAGGAGGGTCCCCTTCGGGTGGTTTTCCTTTTTAACACCCACCGACACAGCGCGTTCCCTCGTCGTTGAGATGGTAGCCGCGGCCGCAGTTGGGCACGTTCTTCTGGCACGTGTAGGAGCCCTCCGTGTTGATGCACGTGTGCCCCACGGGGCACGTGGGGCTGATGCTTAGACACTCATTGATATCTACAGCGGGAAAGACAGAGGACACGTGGTTAAATGCGGAAGGCTTCCCCACCCCCGATGACCGGGTCTCCAGAGGGTCCCCACTTCTGCCCTCTTCACAAAACCACCGACGGGTGTGACGAGGCCCTGGACCAGGCAGCGGCCTCCTGCCTGGCTCCTAGACTTCACCAGCGCACAGCACCTTAAACGCGAGCCCTCCTGACCCTCTTCCGGCCCCCAAAACCTTCAATGCCTCCATCTTGCACTGGGTTTGAAGCCGCCTGCCTGGCCTTCAGGTGCTGCCACCACCAAGTCCTTTCTGAATCCCACACGCTGGGCATGGTGACTTGGTGCCAGCTGTGCTCACGCACGTCACACGGTATGTGGTGCGTCGTCCCTGAGCGGGGCGTGAGGCTAAGGGGGACAGACGTGGCTGTCTCCTCGCTGCCAGCACGACTGCCCTGGCGAGGTTCTGAGCTCCTTGGTGACGGCCCAGCCCCACCCGGCCCCTGGCCTCACTCTGGCCAGCCCCTCCCACGGCCCAGGCTCCAGCCCTGACTACACACCTACAGCTCCTGGACAGGCCACTCAGGTCCCCGCTCTGTGCCTTTATCCACACGGTCCCTGCCTGGGAAGCCATCTCCCTTGTCTGCCCACCCCCATCTGGGCTCCTCGGGGCCTGTGCTGACACGGGTCCAGCAGGAAGGGCCGCTGGCTCCAAGTTCACAGCACAGTGGTCTCCCCGCCTGACTGGACACGCCCCCGACACGGGGACCGTGGGACGTTCGCTTGTGATGAACACACGCCCAGCAAGTGGGGGACACTCAATGAACAAGAAGCAGGTTACACATCTGCTCACTCCTCACGCTCAAATCAGTGCCCAAACTCAAAGACTGAACTTCCTCCTGGGGGAGACGTCTAAAGGGGCCCACGCTTTTAAGAGTCACCTATTCAGGCACTTACAAAGCATTTGGGGGGCGGGGAGCAAAGAGGAGACAGTGACGGTAGAGGACCCCTGAAGGCAAAAAGAGGGATCAGCTCGTTCTCCTCCCGTCCCAGCCAAGCCCACCCTCCTGACAGACGAGCCGGCCCGACTCCCTCCCCTGCTGACAGCCGGGCTTCTTACACCAGCCTCGAACTTTACAGTTTACAAAGCCTTTTACGTCCATCGCTGCCCTCGACCTCCGCAGCTGGGCTAAGATTACTGTCTGCGTTTCATAAACAGGAAACTCCCCAGCACGAGGCTGGGGTCGTGGCCCACACGGGCGTAGCACGGGGGGCTCCTGCCTCCCCGCGGGGTCGAGGGCCCTACGTCAGGCGGGTCGGCAAACCACAGTGCGCCGCGACCCAGCCCAGCAGCCCGTGGCCTGTTTTTGTGAATAACACTGACTGGAGCCCAAACACTCTGAGGTATTGTGTATGGCCGCAACACGGACCCTGTGGCATGCGGGGGTGACACCACGGGACCCCTTTACTGCCCCAGGACCTGTGACCGTCCCCGGGAAGCCAGCACTGGCTCATTCCCCCCTCCTCTCTAGGCAGAAAGGGCGACGGTGGACACGGGGAGTGGACTGCAAGGAAAAGAAAGAGAAAGCCGACGGAGACGTGGGTCTCAAGGGCCTCGGCCACCGAACCTCAAGGTCTAGAACATTCTCTGCTCTGCAATAAGGAACGAGGCCTCTGCTTTCTAAGTCCCCTGAGGGCCCCCTCCCTGGGAGACAGAGCTCTGCGGCTCCAGGGCTGTCGGCTGCGTGGCAGGGAGCGGGGTCCGACAGGCTCGTGGGGCCCCAGGAAGACACGCTCTGGCTGCACGTGAGGTCTGAGCCTCCCACCACTGACCAGGCCGAACGGGGGGAGTGAGCGTGCCGTCGGCAGAGGTATGCAAGCGGCAGACACCGGGCTCGTGCACATGAGGGGACCTGCCCTCTCCCTGAAATGACCCTGTGACGATCATGCTATCGTGACACACTTTCTCCTCGGAAAGAGTTGCTTTGGACGATGCATTTTTACAAAGACGACGTGAAGGTACCGACGTAGAACGATATGCAAACGCATCGTCAGGTGTGGGGCGAAACCTGACAGAACCGTCTGGCCCCGTTTTCATAAAAAAACGAAGTCTCGAGGGAGCAGGAGCCGAGAAGGTGCAGACACGCGGGCGGGGGCGGGCGGGGGACAGCGCCTCTCTGCACTTGGGTTCCGTTTGCTTTTTGGTAAATTAAGTGTATGTAACTTTTGAAATTAAAAAAAATAATAATTAATTTGAAAAGAATCTTGAACTTGGTTGAAAGGAGTTCCGTACCCACTAAAGGACACCCCCCCGTGTTGAGATGAGGGCGCCACTGAGCAGAGCGGTCGGCTGAGGCCCGGGCTCCCAGGGCGGGACGCTGAGGGGACTGTCCCTTGCCACTGCTCTCATGCCTCCCTCGGACAGTGCCGCATCCCGTGGAAGGAAAACCGGGCTAAGTCGGGACTTGCCAATGCTGCCGCTTTTTGGAAATTGGGCTGATTTTGCCATGAGTCAGGGTTTCCACCCGCGGCAGATAACGGCCTCCGCCGTGGAGCCCCCCGCCTCGCACGGCAAGTGCGGGCAGGACCCTCCCCCATGCCGGCCTGCGGCTTCCTGCTCATTGGCCCCCGAGTGACGAAAGCCCAGCTGGCAGGAGGCTGGCGAGGGGCCAGCTGAGGCCCCCACAGCTCAGATGCCTCCTCCACAGGACGAAAGGGGAGCTTTAGGACTGGGGTTGGGGTCAGGGGAGGCCCCTGCCTAAGGGGGCGCTATTCTATTTGTCTTTAAATATCTTAGGGTGATCTTTGATTTGAAAAACACAGATTTATCTGAGAGTGAGTGAGGCGTAAATAAGGCAGCAACTCGCGGCCCCTTGCTCCCTTTTACGGGTGGGGGGTGGGGGAGACTGGGGCAGCCACAGGGAGGGTGGGTTGTGATTTCTGGCATCTGCAGCTCAGAAGTCTTTCTGACCTCAAAGGCAAGACCCAGAAGTTTCTGCTGAGCGGAGAACAAGGGCAGGCCAGCAGATCTGGGCTCAAATGCCAACTGCAAATTGTGACCAGCCCGGTGGTTAACCTGGGCGACCGGAGAAGAAAGGAGAGTCGCCTGCTGTTTCTGGAGCAGGTGACACCACCGGCCACCCGGCTCCCTCGCCCCCGACCCACCCACGCTGCCTCTCCAAGCTGAGCGGTCGCACCCAGACCTCCTGTTTCTTCTAAGTTCCCATGGGATTCTGTTTCATCTGACGTCGATCTTCCTGATAGCAACGCAGCGTTCTCTTATTGTGGTCAAATAGACGTAACATAAAATTTACCGTTTTAACCATTTTTAAGTGTACAGACTGAGTGGCGTTAAGTACACTCCCACTGCTGTGCAACCATCGCCACCATCCATCCCCAGAACTTTTTTATGTTCCCCAAATGAAACTCCGTGCCTGGAACACTAACTGCTCCCTGGCACCCACCTTTTACTCTGTCTCTATGAATTCGATTCCTGATACATATTATTTTTTATGTTCCTGGCACTTCACAATCACCTGTTTAATCCTCACCTCAAGCCCATAAGCCAGATATCATTATTCTCCTCTTATAGAGGAGGAACTCGAGGCTCAGAGGAAATAAGTCAATTTCATTAGGTCACTCAGTTCCAAACCAGGTATCTCTGACTCCAAAACTCAAGTTCTTTCGGGATGCTCAACCATTGCCCCGAGGCCAAACCCAGCCTGCCGACAGCTTTGGTAAATCAAGTTTTATTGGGACACGGCCCTGACCACTGGTTGATGTATCTGTGGTTGCTCTCGGGCTATACCGGCAGAGGTGAATAGATGTAACAGAGACCACCAGGCCCACAGCTCGCCAAACTCTGTTCTATACACTGTGCAGCGCCCCCATATTCTAGAGGGGCCCATCGCTGGGTCGTGTGCCCCACCTGGCAGACCCCACCAGCCCTGGCGGTGGCACCTTACCAATACAGTTGCCTAGAGCATCTTGTATAAAGCCGCTCTTGCACTGTAGCTTGGGTCTGCAGCGAAAGGATCCCAGAGTATTCTGACAGATAAAATCGGGGAGGCAGTTATGAATACCACTCTCACATTCGTCAATATCTGGTACATCATAAAAAAAGGAAATTGTTAGCAAGAGTCCTGCCAGAAGCATCTTACAACACTTTAACATCACAAGAAAGTTTTTATTTTAAATGCTCATTACTCAGACTATAACCCAAAACATTTCAACAGGGAGGTCACGTACAAAAAAGGGGCCTGCGTTAGCCAAACAGTGCTCGCGTTGCTAAAGACTTAAAACGCTGACTTTCCCCCCAAGGCTCTTATGAGACAAACTTTCTGTTATATAATAAATAACCAGGCATTTTCCTGGCAATGTGTGGTTGTTGGGTTTTTTTTTTTTTCTTTTCATTTTAGACTAAGCACATATTTTGTTGAGATCATAAAGCAATGATCTTTGTGGCAATAAACACTGTCTCTATAAAGTCGTTCATTCTGAAGTTGTCACAATCTTACAAATATTAACAATGGTGACTGTCACAATGCCAGTGTTGGCTGCCCTTCCCTTGAAGTTCATGGCTGTCAAGTGTTCAAAAGTGTACACTCTGTTGGCCAGGCCTCTGGGCTCTCAAGTCCAAACCACCCAGCGAGTCTGCAGGGGTGGAGCGGGCCGAGCTCGTCCAAAGCCCTCTGACGTCAGGAGGGCGTGCCTGGCTTTTGAGCCACCCTCATAATTCAACCGACATTTTTACACAAGTGGTTTGTCATCTGAAGGGCTGGAAACCCTCAGCAGAAAGCTATGTTCTAACAGATCCTCATCAAAGCCTTCTCTGCCAAATAACATCTATGGCTTGGCGGGGGAAGGCCTGCAGCCAGAAATTCATGTTTTTATGTGGCGGATGGGGGCTTTGAACTTCAAGGAAGCCTGGAATTAGATGGAAGGCAGCTGTCGTGCAAAATGTAATTTTTTGGGTAACGAGCACATGTGAACACCCGAGATTCATCCCTGGCCTTGCTTTTAAATGATCACGTTCTGAGCATTTTCACAAAGCCCAAGTCACCCCTGACTGGCATTAACTCCTCATACAGGTAGAAGAGCTAACTCTTCACTAAGCTTTGGCCAGCGCCCCGGGTGGCCCACGAAGGGGCACGGTGGCGCCCGGGCCGCCCTTCCCACCTCACACCCACTCGCGGAGAGGTGAGGGTTTTACCTTTGCAGTCATTGTGCTCCGTGAGCTCATAGCCAGTCCCGCAGCTGCTGTCCCTCTGGCAGCGGAAAGAGCCCACCGTGTTGATACAGGTCTCTCCAAGCCGACAATTGTGGCTGCCCGCGATGCACTCGTTGGTATCTGGGAGGGACAGACGCAAGAGTCATAGCAGGAACAATGCTTTGCCAGAGGGAGGGTGCCAGCAGGCAGAGCGGATGGGTTCCCTGCACCCGGCACGTGCCCACGCACCGTGGCCGTGGGCGGGAGACCCGGGCACTTGCCACGGCATCAAAGTGGCGCGGAGCGGATGGGTTCCCCGCACCCAGCACGTGCCCACGCACCGTGGCCGTGAGACCCGGGCACTTGCCACGGCATCAAAGTGGCGGTTTCTCTCCCCCACTAAGTTTCAGATCTTCTGAGCTCCCGCTAAGCACGTGCCAGGTAGACTGGAGTCACGTGACCCCTACAACCCCTACAAGGGGCTATCACCTTCCTCCACCTCCCTCTCTCACAGAGAGGCTCCGGGACGTGCCCGGGGCCACGCAGCAGGTCCTGGACGCAGAGCCCCGTCAGACCCCAAACCCGGCCCTTGTCTCATGACAACATGTGGCGCAAACTCCAGGGCGCACCAGAGAGCCGATCCTGGGTCTCGTTCACCTATGACGGGGCCCCGCCTGGATGTCAAGTGCAGGCAGAGCTCCTGAGTGCAGCCACCGGCCGTGCCGCTGTCCCCGGAGCACGGTGACCTTTACCTTCGCAGGAGACGCCGTCCGGCAGCAGCTGGTAGCCCACGAAGCACGAGCAGACGACCTCCTCGCCCGTGTCCCGGCACTGCTGTTTGCAGGGCCCGCCACCTGCAATCAGGGCACACGTGAGCCGGCGGCCCGGTGCGGACCACAGATCTTTCGTTTGTCCAGTTCCGTTGGGCCAGGCCTAGAAAACGTCCTCAGGGCGGATGTCCCGCTCAGAGCCCACTGCGGCCTTCACAGCACCCCTACTTCCCGCGGAGACCCCAGGAGCAGCCCTGAGCATGCTTTCTGCAGGGCAGCCAGCAGGATGGGCCTCTCCCGGCTAGAGCTCCTATGGGGTACGGTCGGACTGGGGGCCCAAGCCTGCCAGGCCGCGCCCACACCTCCAGCCTCCTCCTCCGTCCCTCTGGGTCTCCACTCCCAACGCCCCAAATTCCCTTTCAGTGTTAACTTTCCTGGCTAACTCACCCTCAGCCACGACAAACCAGTCATCCTCTGCCCCAGGAAGACCCTCCCACGCCCCTCGGAGAGGATTCCAGGGTTTCTGGGGCTCTCTGCCCTGCCCCCTCTCCCAGGCCTCTGCGTCGACTGTCACTGTACACAGACGACATCGTTGGCGATTAAACTGGCTCCCTAATTAACACCTCAACCACAGGGCAAGCTGCTGAATGAACCTGTGTGCAGACCTGCCAGTCTAGACACGCTGGAATGTTCCATGAAAGAGAAACAGAGTTTATCTTATGAAAAACAAACCTGAAAGGAGGCCCTACTCCCTCTAAATTTGCAAATGGACGTGACCAATGGCACAGGTGGGCTCCTAGACAGTCACATAACCCTCACCCCACCCCCGAGGGGTCTCAGCTTTTGGGGAAGCTGGTATTCACGGCTCAGAGCCTGAGAACTGGGTCACGCTCCGGTGGACACTGCAGGGGGGGCGCACTGTGAACATGAGCGTCACACATGGCCCCTTCCCTGAGCCCACCAGGCCCAGCGAGGAGGGGCGTGGGGACAAGGAGTCCCGTGTGCCCTGAGGACACAGGGACTTGCAGTTGGCTCCCAGCCAAAGGGCAGCTCCCAAGGGACCCTGAGTCACACTCCCAGGGAGAAGCCCGACTCCTCCCGGCCTCGTTAACCACCAGATGGGCCCTGGGAGGAAGTGGCGGCGACTCACCTCGACAGCGGTCATTCAGATATGGGTCCTCTTGCTCCTCCTCCATCTCGGAGATCTTAGCTAAGGGGCGACACAGGCAAAGACATTTACCCACACGCAGCGCCCCATCTTCCCTCAGAGGACCCTCCGAATATTTTCTCTCCTCGTAAACATCTGGCCATAACGCCCACTCGTACACCTTCTAATAGCTCACTATTCATCTTATCCTTTTAAAAAAATAGACTCGCACTCGTAAATGGCCTTGAATCTCTAAAAGATCGATTACAACAGAAACAGCCTTGGCGCCAGGGCCTGCAATCATCAACTTAATGCTGAGTGCTTCTGTGGGTTGGATTGTGTTCCCCCAGAAGATGATGAAGTCCTTATCCCCAGCACCCGTGAATGTGACGTCATTGTGGAGACGGACCTTTGCAGATTATCAAGGTAAGGAGAGGTCATTAAGGTGAACCCGGACCCAATGTCACTGTGTCCTTATAAAAAGGAGGAACTTGGACACAGCGACAGACACACGTCGGAAAAGGGACATGAAGAAACAGGAAGAAGACGCAATCTACAAGACAAGGAACGCGGGTGCCACCGGACGCTGGTGGACAGGCCTGGGATAGTCTGTCCTCACAGGCTGAGAAGGAGCCAGCCCCGCCAACACCTCGATCCAGACTCTCACCTCCAGACTGTGAGGACACACGTCTGTGGTTTCGGGCCCCGTGCTGTGGCATTTTGTTACAGCAGCCCCAGAAAATGAATACATTTATTTTCTACGGCTTTGCCTGCAAAGCTCAATTTCATGCCAGTCATCAATATTCACTCACTTGATTCATTCAAGAAAGGTGTGTGAGCACGCACACAGACCAGGCCCCCCCTCCCACTGGAAAATCCACCAGGCCAACGGGAGAGAGACCCAGTGAGGTCAGGGGCCCTAACTTAACAGGGCGGGATTCCACTAATCATCCTGGCCTAAAAGAAACAGATTAGCCCTTTTAGCTAGGACACAGCCAAGGGTGGGAAGAATCTCTAGAAATACTTGAAAATCAAGTCGTCTGATGTCGAGGATTCTTCCACTGGCAGAATGACAGCGATCACAAGTCAATCAGGATTCGGTAGCAATGACAACCACGCTGAATGGGGAAAAGCACGGAGCAAAAAAGACACAGAAAAATGCCTGAGAGGAAATGGGGTCTAACGGGAGCGGGGTTCATCTCCCCATCTACTTCCTCTTCCGCCCACATTTCTGTATCTTCCAAGAGCGTATCACACATGCACAGTGGAAAAGTAACCACGGTTACGACGAAACACGTTAGTAATTCTGCTATAAAATTCGATATACTAGCTATGCACGACGCTTTCTTCCTCAGGGGCTACTACAATATGTTGAGGGTCTCTCAACAATTCAAAGAACTTTCCCCTGGGGAGGAGCTAAGCAAAAGACACCAGGCACAGGCCAGGGCGTCCAGACCTCACCCTGCAGAGGGCTCATGGTGACGAGGCCAGGAGGACTCGTGAGGAACTATTTATCACCCAGGTGATGAGGTCATCAAGATTCCCACGGCATTCTGGGGGAGCCGGCTAGCCTGGCCTGGGAAGGCCACCGTTGCTGCTAGAAAATGAACCCCAAACCTGCACGTCTCCTCATCTGTAGAATGCGAATATCCAAGACGCGCCCAGCACAGGTCTCCCCAAACTCCCCACGGGAAAGGAACAGGGTTCTTTCTCCAGTCTTGGATCGATAATTTGATAACATATAATAAAAACAAATTATTAGAAAAACTAAGACAATAGGCATACGAGCCTTGATTTTTAAATTTAGAGTCCATGGACAGAAGTGACTCTATCGAATGCTCACAGAAGGTTCTAAAAGTTTACCCACAACGCCGCACTTATCTGGTCGCAGGCCAGCGCCGGCCTGTGGGCCCTGTGCGTGCGCCCGCCACCCAGGTTAGTGTGCGGGGGGAAGGCACGGCTGTGACCGCGCGAGGAGAAGTCCTCGCGGAGCCTCTGAGGAAAGTCTGGGGCGAGAACGGAAGCAGAGGAAAGACGGAGGAGAAACATCTGGAGCAGCAGAGAAGCCCAGAGAGCGAGAGCGACACGAGACGCAGCATCAGCAACCTCCCCGCGACCCAGGAGACACGCTCCACCAGGGTGAAGCGCTGCGCTTCGCTCCAAGTTCAAGTGTCATTCGATTTCGAAAGTCAGGGAAGGGGTCGGAATGTGGTTCCAACCCTTCTCCACCACGGAGATATTGGAAATCGGCCCCATGGCGTCCATGAGGCCCTGGAAATGAGAAATTAAACACAAAAAGATGAAAGACCGGTCCTTTTGACCTAACCCCTGAAGCCGCGGGGCCCGTAAAGCCAGGACGATGATGGCGGACCTGACTTAGGGGCCACGGGTCCCTCAGCAATTCCTTCCTAACCCCTTCCTGCCCCTCGCCCATTTTTAGCAGAGGGGGGAAGGAAGCTCGGAGTGAGAAGCAAGGGTCACGTGGCAAAGCTCGGGGCAAAGCAGACTCCTGAAATTCTCCAGGGCTATTTCCACCACGGCACAGGAAGCCATTGCGTAAGAGATCATCAGACGACCGAGGAGCTTCCTGAACCATGTCCCAAGGCTTCAGGATTTATCTGGCTTCGGACACATGGAGGGCAGAGAAGCAGAACTGGTGGACACACAGCTGGGAGCTCTCGCGAAGCTGCTCTTGGGGTCACTTGCCCCTTTGCTGAATAAGTGTCTATTATTTGAAAGAGCCCGCCATTAACGAGCGGTACCCGCTGGCCTCTCGTCTGCATATCATCGGCTCCAGATGGAGAGAGAGGACACTGGCCAGGAGGCAGAAGGCCAGTTCTCCCTCCTCTGTATGTCACCCACAGGACCTCGAGCATCAGGTCCTGACCCGTGAACCAAGGGCAAGGCCAGCCACCCACGCGGCCCAGGGCTGTCGAAGGGGCAGGGAAGAACTGTGATGGGCAAACGTTCAGAGAGCCAGGCCCTGCCCCCAGCATTTGACCTTCATCCTCCCAGCAACCTCGTGACGCGGGACCCCGTGACGTAAGGCCTGGATGAGTAAGTGTGCCGAAGAGAGCGGTTAGGACAGGGGCGTGAACCTGGTTTGTCGGATCCCGGATTCTAAGCCCTCATCTCGCTCTGGGACAGCAGCTCTCAGACGAGGTGACAAACATGAAGCTGCTCTGACAACTGGAGTCTGTCTGCGTTGAGCTAAGGCAATTATAGACATCTGCGCCCACATGGCCTGTGGCGGTGAATTTTACGTGTCAACTTGGTTGGGCCACGGTACCCAGATATTTGGTCAAACAATAGTCTGGAAATCGCTGAGACAGTATTTTTTAGATGACACTAACATTCAAATAAACAGACTTCTCTCTCTCTCTCTCTCTCTCTCTCTCTCTCTCTCTCTCTATTGGTTCTGTTTCTCTGGATAACCCTGATTAATATACTGCCCAGGGACATTACCTGTTTCTTGGAGGTCCCCGATGTCTGCGGGGGCGAAGTCTGTGGTCTCCTGGCCCTTGACACAGCACGCCCGGAACACCAGCCCACACTGGTAGCCAACCATGAGGTTGTACTCGCAGCTCTGGCCTTGGGCCTGGGCTGCCCTCCCCAGCAGGCAGCAATGGCAGCACCTCTGTAAACACAGGTGGAGACCCCAGGAGGGAAGTCAGACACACAACACGGCGGGGCCCCGCAGGCCTGAGCCCCTATGCCCACTCACCCTGGACAGTGACGACATGTGCTTAACCTAACGATCTCTCCTAAATGTGGGCGGTGAATAGCGAGGCGAGCCGAGCCCGAGGCATGCCACCCCCCCAGCTGCACAAGTCCTGGGTTTGAAAGGAATCTTAAAAGAGCTGGCACCAGCCTGTGCTCCACAGCACCTGCCTGCCCCCCTCAAGACCCCTGCCCTGCCCAGTGACACAATTCCAGGAA